TTTTGAAAAGCATGAGAATAATGCTGATGACAGGATGTGAAAATGTGTGAATTAAAAGTCCTCATTGTAGTTGATCAGAGTGAATCATGCAGTTTATGCCAGCTGTAATAGAACGCATTTGAAATGACATGCACGCTATCAAAACAGAAAGACAGTTTGTTGGAAGGTCGATAACCACATTTAATTAGAGGACGGACACCAGATGAATCATCGTACGTTACAAATCCCTGTTTTCAAGCCATTTGATTCAGACTCAGATGGCTGATAGCAGGAGATCAGACATTCTTTACAGACAGTGTGACTGACAATACAAGCAGTCGGATTGTAAAACATCAGGTGTTGTTAGTGTGACGTCGAAGCACAAGACTGACACGATTCAACAAAACAACCATAAATCACATGATCATGATTGGTCTGAAAACAAAACGACATGAAGGAGCTGCCATCAGAAAGACTCCCGTTCATTTCTGCTGCCACCTTGTGGGCTGATTTGTTCAATACAGTCACATCATCACAACAACGGGATCCGTAGAGAAGAATGACAACGAAGACGCCACATTTGGTTTCATATATTTCAATCTGCTGCTGTTTCTCTTCTTCAATTATTCTCACTGATTCTTCCTCTTTCCTGTAAACCAATACAGCAATAACCACCAGTTATGAGCTCTGCTGCATCCTGTGTGTCAATTTCCTCTGATCAAATCTACTCGAGTACTTCCCTCCCATGAATGATTCATTAGTATTAGCATCAGAAATGAGGAAACCATGTGATTGTCAGCGCTAATGTAAGCTGTTAGCATGTCCCGCTAACGAGCCGCCTGCCTGCAGCGGTCACCCCAACAGCTTTAAAGGTCACATGTCTGATCTGACATTGTGCTTTTTCAACACTAGGAAGGGCTGCTTCTGCACACACGATTAACTGTCTATATTTCTATGTCTTTTATCATAAACGGGTGATTGTTGGGTTTTTTTGGCCACACAGAGCTACCACCACTCTAAACTCTAGCAACATCTCCAGGTTAGCAAAGCGTCTGGCTCGAACAGAACAGCCAGCGTGTGTCTGCCTGAAATCGATGATACGCTGTTTAATAAATGATTTAAGATTGCAAACTGCCAGATGATAAAAACACTGACGGGGATTAGGAAACATTCCCCACTGGTATCTGTCTGGAGGTACTTCTAATCATAAAGCATGGTTAACATTAGAAATCAGCGTTAACAATAAGCATCTTAAAGGAAGAGAAACGAAAAACTTGGTTGTCACTCAGTTGTTTCTAGCAGATTGACGACTGCCACTGGCTCGTCATCTCCGCTTCTGTGACAGCGTTGGGGGAGATGCCTCCTAAACCTCTGGGCTCCAGGTATGTAGACCAGAGGATACAGGAGGCAATAGAAGTGAATCAGTGGGTAGGTGATTAACAGCGCATAGAGCAATGCCTTCTGATCCAAGAGTATATGCGTGGCCGTAGGGAGCACAACAGCTATAAATGCTATGATAGTGTGAGGAGCCACACAAAGGAAATAACCAACAGTTATCCCTAGAATCAGCTTGGAGGGCTGGTCCTGTCTGTTTATCCTGCCCTGTCTGATAGTTATCCACAAGTGGACGTAGCAGAATGTGACGATAGCTAAAGGAAGGAGGAACAAAAGGATTACATGGAAGTAGGTGTCAAAGTACAACATAAAGACTGAAGGACTAGAGAAACACATGGTAGCAAAACCTACAGCTACAGCAGCACATGCCAGCCACATCACAATGCTGCCCACGAGGACACGGCGTTTACTGAAGGCCTGCGCAGACACACGTGAAGCGTGAACCACGGTAATGTAAGAATGCAAAACCATGGCAGTGACTATTATTGGATAACTGGTCCATCCTAGTCTATGCAACGCTCTCAGAGCTCCACAGGCCCACCCCTCAAACCCCCAGCTGTGGAGATCATTGCTGGCCATAAAGGGCAGCGTCGCGGTGGAGCAGAGGTTGGAAACTGCGAGCTGCAGGAGGAAGATGTCGCGTGTGGTCCTCCAGGCTCGTTCCTTCAGAAGGACCCAGAGCAGGAAGCTGTTTCCAGGCAAACTGATGCAGAAGATGAGGGAATAACACGCAGCGGCGTAGACCTGAAACTCCACATCTCCTTCAGGATGTGCGTTGAGTCCACTCTCATTGTGGATCCATCTGAGGTCGTAGTCGTAGTCACTGCTGAGGGCCATTCTGAACTTGTCGAGGTCTTCTTGTGAGGAAATGAAAATTGATCTAATGAAGAAAGGGAGATACTTAAATTCAGAGCACATTCTACAACCCATATGAACTCACAAATAGACAAACAGGAGATGCTGTAAATGCTGCGTTTCAGAAATATTCTCAGACTTTCACGTGACGTTTTGAGTCATCGTCTCACATTTTCAATCAGCGGCCTGGAGTTTTGTTGCATGTTCTCACATTTCAACACGTTCTCTTGTGGATACACCGACGCTGTGAAAAACATCCGTTAAAAGTCGGTTACAAAGTGGTGGAACAGTCTAACGTTCAACACCCGGAGAAACAATAACATCCAACATCTTTAAAATAATCTGTTAGCGGTTGATTAAAATAGAACAAGTAGTGTGACTTTATAGCCAAATGCTGTAAAGGAACAAATTACTGGTCAGTTTTGATGTGGACATTATTTACAGCGTTGGCCTGGCTTCCTGTTTTAGTGATGGTACGAGTTACTGTCTGGCTAATTCATTTGTTTTTTTAAATGTGAAAACCTGCAACAGTTGAAGCCTATCAAACAAAAAACAAAACAAAAAGCCTTAAATCATTTTCTCCTTTTCTTAGAAACTTGATAATCACATCAATGAAATGCATTAAACTCCTGAATTAATGTGCTGTGACATGAGAACAGCTAAAACCAGAGCTCACCTCAGGTTTGTGCTCGGTGTCCCTCGCTGCCGTTTCTCACAGTCGTTCACGTCTTTTGAACTTCAGACCCCAGAAAAGTCCTGCACAGCAGAATCTTAAAATCCAGCCTTTCACCAAATGCCACAAACTTTTGTTGTTTTGTTGGAAAAGAGAAGCGAAAGCAGCTGAATTGCATTTCAGCAGCATTTTCATGTATGACAGCGCCCACGCAGCGAGTGAAAGTGCAGCAGTGCACAGCGTTTGTCTCCTTTTAAAACATCGACACCTTCATAAAATAACGGCCGTTTTCTTCAGGTTGTTCAGAAAACACCAGAAAACTGAAGCAAGTGTTGAATGAATGATGTGAATAAAAAAGTCCACTCCAACAGGTTGTGATCATAGACGACTGCTGACATACTGACAACAACGTCTGTCGGTCATGTGACACGGGAGGAACAAAGCGAGGAGCATCTCCTTCCAGAAAGGAAAAACATTTCAACACTTTGAGGTCACAAATGTGTGATGATTGTGAAAACCACTCACTGCCTTGTGGTCGCTTGTGTTGAGCGTCCTATAAGATGTCATGATGACTCACGTTGTGTTCAGGTGAGATTTTCATTCATTAAAAACACTAAACAGGATCCGCTGGAAGTTTTTAGTCATAGACGTGATTTCGAGCTGTTTGATTACAATATTCAAATCTTTCTTAACTGGATCATGTAATGTGGGGAAAAAATGAGAGAAAATGAAATATTGTTTGACAAAACTGAACAGAAAACGTCTCACTTGGAACCGCCACAGATTCTGGAGCCTTAACTGAATGGACTTTTGGCTGTTTGGGTGAATTAAGAGACTAAATAAGGATGTGATATTTGTAGCCTGGCCTGTATTATAGTAAACCTCACGACTTACCAACAGGGGACGAGCCCTGAATCATGGAAACAACTTCAGGTAGATTTTCGTTTTCCTTGAAGCGGCCACCATCTTGAAAAGCGAGTAAAACGGCCTGAGTCTCACTGTACAGAGGTAGACACTCTGTTCAGCTGAGGATGGAGGTGACTTTAGCAGAGGTGGCCTGCATCATTACGGGATGATTAGGCAAAAAACCCAAAAAGACTCGGGCCGTTATTTTAGGAAGGTGACGATAAGCAACCAAGTGTAAAATTAAACAAATACGTCATAGAAAAGCAGGTCCAGACTGATCGGGTGTTCTCACTTCAGCAGAGACTGATTATTGTTGATCGGCTCCATCACGACGGCCGAGTTTTGCGCCGCAAAAGCCACAGTCTGAACAACGGAGGTGTTCTGGCCGGCGCACCTCGTCCGGTTGTTCCTGCACACGCCGTCACACCGCAAAAGGCGCAGCAGATGTCCTCGCAGCTTTTCTGAGAGCATGTACAGCAGAGGGTTCATGCAGCAGTGCGAGTAGGCGAGTGTCCGACTGATATGATATGCAACGTTCAGCCGCTCCTGCGCCTCACACTCTACGGGTTTGTACAAAGGTTTGATGAGAAGCACGATGTTATAGGGTCCCCAGCAGATGAAGAAGGCTACAACGATGCACAACACCACCACCACAGTCCTGTTTCTTCTTCTGTTTGACGTGTGCAGGACGGTTTTGAGGATGGCAGAGTAGCAGAAAACAATGACGGCAAAGGGGAGGAAGAAAAGCAGCGACACTTGGAGGTAAAATGCCAGCGGGACAGTAGAAGGGGCCTCACAGTAGAACTGATCCTCCCACTCATCCACCTTTATTTCGATGGCATCATGGATGGACGCAGCAACGCTGAGGAGCCAGGCGGCTGCACAGGCCCCGGCGACGCCCCTCTTCCTCCACACGTTGTTGCTCAGCCAGTTGTGCAGCACCACAGTCACGAAGCGATCCACCGTCATGGCCGTCAGGAGGATGACGCTGCTGTACAGACCGACAAAGTGCGCCGCCGTCATGAATTTGCAGAGAAAGTCCCCGAAGACCCAGTGGTGAAGGTGGTAGGTGGCCCAGAACGGAAGCGTGGCGGTGAAGACCAGGTCGGAGCAGGCCAGGTTCACCATGAACACGTTGGTGATGTTCTTCAGGTCCTCGTAGATGACCAGAACACACAGCAGGAGACTGTTGCCGACGACACTGATGAAGAAGATCAGGATGAAGAGGGCGCCGCTGACGATTGAGAAGTCAAACTCCTCTGTGTCACAAAGATACACAGGACCGCCGCCGTCCACTCCTTCGCCAGGCGTTGTGGTGCCGTTTGCCATAGCAGGTCTTCTGGCAAACACGAACAGAAAACCTTCAAAATTCAGTTCAGACTGAGCAGATTTCTGAACGCTTTGCTGCAAAAATGAGCTTCTTGTGGAGTCTTTAGAACAAGGAGAGTCTGGACTAAATACAGAGAACAGGGATGGTGCAGAAGCTCTCAGCGACGCCCTCTGAGCATCAGCTGGCCGTCTGGTGTTGAATGGCACGGTGCAGGAAATGTTGTAGACAAGAGTCAAGCTACGAGTTCCTCTTCTTGTTTCTTGTTAAGTCAGAGATGTTGTCACATGCAAATTTCTTTCAAATATATCTTCCAGGAAACTGAACAGAAGTTAAAAATAACATCCATCCATCATCTCTACACCTTAATCCTCACTATGGGGGGCTGGAGTCTATCCCAGCTGACTCAGGGTGAAGGCAGGTTCACCTGGACAGGTAACCAGTCTATCACAGGGCTACACTTAG